ACTCTCTCTCTCTCTCTCTCTCACACACACACACACACACACACACACACACGCACACACACACACACAGACGCACACACACACACACGCACACACGCACACAGAGACACACACAGACACACGCACACACACACGAAAATGTTTTCCCGACTAAAGACGACCACTTCCCTCAAGTGGTATCACTGGCTTTGGGCGGGTGGGTATGTCTGATTACGTTACTCAAACGGATCCTTGGTGTCCAACCTCCTGAGTACAGTCTGTTGCAGCCATGGTTTTTAGTGGACCTTCAGTCAAACCTGAAGGCGTGCAATTAAGCTACATAAACCTTCACAATTCTACAGCCGCTCTCTTCCTTACCACTGCACCTGGAAATCCCACACTGGTTTTACAATAAATGGCAAGAGACCACTCCATCCCAAACAAAAAAAATGACCTTCACAAGTCTGCCTGGACATCATGCACCTCGCCATCTTAATCTCCAGCTACTTTCAGACACGAGCAAGGGTTTGTTGGCCTTCCTCCCTCCAAGCCATGTGGTCAATAATACTCAACATCCATAACATACAATTCAAAATTTATGCTCTTCTTTTTTCTGCAAAGACAGTGCCATGCACCAGAATTTTGAAACAATATATCAGGAAATCTGAAACCCAAATACACGTGGAATCACAGCAAGCAAACTTCTGCATGAACTTCACACTACCGTCTTCGCCCGAATATAACGCCCAGGTCATTATAGCTGTATTTGGAGCACTTTCCAGTCCACATGCGGTGATAATGACCAGCCTTCCTACTCGGGTGAAGACGGTAGATTCCCGTGCAACAGTCCTGGATGTGACTCTAGGCTGTATTGTTTCTCATAGCCTCCTGGCTGTGCCTTATCTTGCCCTGTGCCATCCTGTGGGGAGGCGGTTAACGACGGCCTCAATGACCCGTTCCTCAGTATCTGAAAATGGGGGTCCCCATTAACCACTTGTGTCATAAGAGCAACAAAGTGTAAAACATTATTTGGGAGCTGATTGAAACCAGGACTTACATAGACATATGAGAATCCCAGTAGTGTGTACCTCACATCATCCAGGAAGTTCTGAGCTCACAATACCCCAACTTATACTACTAGTGTATTCCGAAATACCAGAGGGCCCATCTCAGATGAATGTTGCACAAACCTATTGTACACGTAAGAAAAGTCAGAATCTCCACGACCACCCAGTTCGTCCCATCCATTAAACAAATGAGTCGACAAGTTCTGCTCTTTATACCAACATGACAACCGTTCACAATGGGGCAACACAAAGACTCCACTCTCAACAGGAAGGGAAAACCAAACCTGATTCTGCGCTCTGGATGTGCAACACCATCTTTGACATTCTCAATCTCCGCTTCAATCTCCTTTTTCTGATATATCACACCCAGGAAAACAGCACTTACAAAGTTTAGCCATCCCATCTAGTCACACTTGCAAACTTGACCAATCCCATGAGGCCACATTTGAAAGAGCTTAGCCACCTACAAAAAGCCAACCATCCCAAAACTCTCTCTCTCTCTCTCTAGCCACCTACAAAAAGCCAGCCATCCCAAAACTCTCTGATTCTCTCTCTCTCTCTCTCTCTCTCTCTCTCTCTCTCTCTCTCTCTCTCTCTCTCTCTCTCTCTCTCTCTCTCTCTCTCTNTCTCTCTCTCTCTCTCTCTCTCTCTCTCTCTCTCTCTCTCTCTCTCTCTCTCTGTGTGTGTGTGTGTGTGTGTGTGTGTGTGTTGTCATGTTCGCTATACCCCTCTCTCTCTCACTGTTGTCTTGTTTGCTACACACACTCCACAAAAAAAGCATGAATGTGCCAGAATGTTCATCACACTTTCACCGACTCATCAGGAGGTTGAGTATGTGTGTGTCTCTCTCCCTCTTTCTCTCTCCCTCCCTCACACTAACATAGTTCCAAAAAAAACTTCACATGAAACCATACGCTGACGGATCAAGCCACAGGCCCATTCGACAGCCATCAACCCGGTCAACCATAGGTCTAGGTCTGGGTCAGAATCAGGTTTGACCTGAGGGGTCTAGGTCAAACTACAGGGCCCTCATTCGACTAGGTCAAACCATAGGTAGGTCTAGGTCTAGCCATCCGTAACTTCAGATGAAGGCATAACACGCACATACGACCACAATTACAATATCATGATTATCATCCCAATAAACAGATCAAACCATAGGTCAAGGTCCAGGTAGTTACAGACAGGATCGTCGACCAGTGAACATCGAGCACGGCTGCATTACTGGCCGGCAATCCTATACTTACTACCCTGGGTACAGAGCGAGAAGACGGGTGGATTCATATACCTAACCTTAGCATTCGGGTTTTGTCTTCGCACAGCCGGGAATAAAATTCTTGGTGGAAATCATGAACTCTGGGTGTTAATAACAGCTCACGATTTCTTAATGATCAGCCGCAAGCCAAGGGGACAAAGTCCATCATGTGCATACCAACAACAGACATTGCTTGCGAAGTCGTCCCATCTTTCGAACATCAGTGACTTCACGGACTTGCTGGAGCACAAGCTGAGCTTAGCACCACTCAATAGGATTTGAATTTTGAACTCATCACCTTCTTGTTATCAGTCCTCAACAAGGTATGTACCCCTCGACTACCAGGCAGGTACCATGCCGCGACTTGCAACATTAGGGACCTCAACCAGTTTTTTTTTTCCAATTATTGGTTAAGTGATTAACAACCGTCACAACCCACACATGGTTAGGACCAGCGCTTCAAGATGATCGTTGGGGACCCAAGGGAATTCGACTCACCATTGTATCCCTCATGTTCGAGAGGAGAAGGGACTGCACATTGCCTTTTCCAACCCATCTGCACAATTCCACTGTCAAAGCCTTTGCAGAAGCTCGGACCTTTTGATCCTGATGATCAAATAGAGGTGGGAGCATCTTTATTACCCTTTTCGCATTCACCACCTTCACCCCAAACTGACTGCAACAACCAGCAGACAATGACAACATGAAAGTCAACATTGTGCCGACACGAACAATTTTCCCACAAACCAAGGTGGTTAGCCTAATTGCTGCAAGCAATGCACAGAGGAGACGAAAAACCGAAAAGAAGAAAGCAAGATACACTGCAAAAGCTGCCAACATCTTGAATAAGAGGTGGTACATCCTTCCCAAGGGAAGAAATAAATACCGTCTACTCGGACATCCCGATCGTCACGGGGAGGGGCGTGGGTGAGTTCCGCTATTTAAATTTTGCCTTGCCGGTGGAACAGGAACCGGACTGACGCTTCCCAGAATGGAAAGGACCCAAAGCCATAGGGTTCTATTTTTTTTATATATATATAATTAAAACACGCATCTCTTCCACCACCTTCACACCAAACTGGGTGCGACAACCAGTAGACGATCAACGACAATAACTATATGTAAGTTAACATTGTGCTGACACCAACAATTATGCCTAAAACCAAGGTGGTTAGCCTATTTGCTGAAGTAATGTGTTCTGCTGCCACGTGGCATCGCCACACCCAGACCAAAAGACAAGGCCGATCGTGACAGCGTGGAGCAGAGGAACTAAGCAGCATAGCGGTGGCGCATCAATGGAGCTGTGGCAGTGCAGTGGAGCCGCGGAAACTGGCGGGGTCGATGGTGGGCTCACACATTTTAAGCACAGCAGGGAAGGAAAAACGAAAAACACGAAAGGCACACTGCAAGAGCTGCCAAGGTTTTGAATGACATGCATCTCTTTAGCAGCTGCACTGCCACAAATGGACAGAGAAAAAGGGAACATAGGAAACAGTGCAGCAAGTTTTCCATGACATGCAGAATCAGGCAGAGGACCCGAACCAAGGACAAAGGAGATCAACCAACCCATGGTTGTTCAAAAATGCTTCACAAAATAGGTCTAAGGAACCATCGAATGAGAACGCACAATTTTCAAGATGCAAAAGCTCACAGAAGACCAATCGTGAATACGCAGAGTTGGAAGCAGAATCACAAAGCCAACAGCGCACCAAAAAGGGGTACGCCAAACTTTTCATTTCGCTCTTGGTGGTCATCCTAAGCAAGGGGGGTGCTTTAAGCAACAGTAGTGGAACCCTCCATAGAAACAACAGCCATATATGCACAGCAATATTCCAAGTACCCTGACTTAATTGACTATCACTTCCCATTTCCGATTCCCAAAGAAAACTCAGATGTAATAAATGGGTTCCAAGGTTCCACCACATCAGGAAATTTCCTTTAAGAACAACAAAACAGAAAATATTTTTGCCCACAACCGAAAGAGTGTTTGCGGCAAACCAAATGCATACGTGAATCAAAGATGCTGCAACTAACAGGGATCAGGTTTCAGCTAGGCATTCTGGGATTAGCTTGTTTTGTAAGTTAACAAAAAAAAAAAAAAGTTCCGCAGTACTAAAGGTTGAAACTTGAAACCTCCACTGCGGCTTATGCCATCCACGGACGAAAAGATCCACTGCAGAACTATTTGTAAAGGCCGAACAAAAATACTTTCGTGTTGCCAAACCGACCCACCAGATCACAACCACCAGTCCAGGTCAGCACCCCTAGAGTCTTTTCTAGCAGCCCCAATTTTCTTTGCAATTTTCTTTGCAGTCACCCAGTCTTTTCTAGCAGATCACAATCGCCAGCCCAATCTTTTCTAGCAGTCTTTGCAAAAATATAGTGTTGCCAAACCGACCCGATCACAATCACCAGCCCAGTCTCATACATAAATGAGGTTCAGCACAAAAGATTGGGCCTCAGTGATGCCACCACTACTGCCTGAAAAAACAGAGAGCTCAACTCCCTGAGACGAAGCGAACTAAACTATGGCTGCCATATCATCGAACCGAAGCACAAACTTGAAAAGGGCCGCTCTCTTCGTAACCTTCAAGATTTTGCGGTCAGGTCCACAGATCTTGTATGCTTAATTGAGTTCATCGAACTGTTTTCCTTATTTCATGATGGAATTTCGAATATTGCACCACAAATGAACCATACTGCACATCAAGGTGTAAACCACCAGCACACCAGAAGCAAGCACCCCTTAACACACTGGCCTTTCATGAATGTAGGGGCCTCCATGCAACCACTTAATGCACACCAGTCCCAGCCTCCTTCCTCCTAAAATCAAACTCGTCGACAAGGCATTGTTCATGAAGCCCCAAGCCTACAGAGCCGAAGAGGGGTACCGGGGCGGTGCGCTAAATTCAGAGTACCCCAAGTGCAATGGAGCAGCGGCAACTGGCGGCAGTTGTTCAGATTTCCAGATGTCACCCAAGTAGGAGTGAACATTTGTGCTGAGAAGGCCTCGCGTGATGCTTTCCGCAGGCCAAAGAGAGACCGCGCAGGGGACGGAACCGACCATGTCACGCGAGGCCTCGGGAAATTTACCCTGTTTTCCATGCAAAGCGCTTTTGGCAACGCTTTTTTTCTGGGAGGGGGGTGGAGGGGTTCCGTTCGAACAAGCAGGCCCAGCGGGGTTGATTGTTAAAATTCACTTGTGAAAAAATGTAGACCATAGATGACTGCTGAAGGGTGTCAGGTGATGGCATAAATACGGCATGCCAGACTGGCAATCGTACAGTTGTACAGATATACTATCGTACTTGGACACAATCATATGACCTGCTGTACATCCGGAGTCGGCAGTGCCGTGCACTTGTGGTCTCAGATGGTGGTGTAAATACGGGGCATGCTCGACCAGCAATCGTACATGCCCGACAAACAATCATACAGCCCAATCTACAGTTGTACAGATATGTTATAGTACTTGGACACACGATCACATGACCTACTGTACATGGGAGTAGGTTGTGCCATCCACTTATGGTCCGCTGCCAGTTACGATACCCGATGCAGCTAGGAAGGCAAGAGTGGCAGTGTGACAGAGGGCAAAAATGGACGGAGTCACTAGCCAAAAATGAAAGCAGTGCACCGCTGGCAGTTTAGTTTTGTTTAGTGCGCAGTGCAAAACCGCTTCGGGACAAAGAGGCTCGGAGGTACAGGTGGTTTAAAAATAACCACTGAGAGGCCAGCTGCCAAACCAATTAACTTAGGTTTCAGTGCTACAAAAAGCTTGGATGACGACAAGCAATGAATATTGGGCAATTGCATGGAGCTAAGATTCGGATGTGTGATAAAAAAGCATGGAAAGAAATAAGGTCAAAAGAATGGAGAGAACCTCCTTTGTCATGTGGAAGACTGGCCCTTCGATGGTCCTTCGGACACTACCACGGGATGTTCACCTTCGTCATAAAACACTCTGAACTCGACGAAGCAAATCATATGCCCTTTGAAAACAGCACTTGGCTCAGACGCAATGCATCGTAACCATAAATATAGCGCACGCCATATTGCACTGAAGACAGGTTCCTTTTTAGCAGGCGACAACAAAAGAGCTGTTCAAATAATTGACATAGCACAGCCTCCACAATACTGCCAATTAATGTTGAATTAATCTATAGGTTCCGTCATTTTTCCTGTCGAGAAAGCCTTGCCTACTGGGTCAAGGCTACTGGAACGAGCACGGCGAACATCCAACACAAAAAGAACATCAAGACAGCCTACCTTCACATGTGGGATTTCCACAGAGGACACCTGGTCTGACAAAGGGAGATAGAGAAGCACTTAAACTGCCAGTGCAGGTCAATGTGGAAAATAAAAGCGAAGCACACCTAGATTGCACACAACCCTGACTAGATACAGAACAACATGACAACGAACATAGACACTCCATAATCTCACCATGTACTTTATGACCCAACTGGCCAGACAGAAACACAGACTCTGACAAACGCGCCTCTGGCTTCATGACAGGCAGGCCCTCATCATTTCATGCTGTCATGGTATGTCCAGGACACCTTCCCCCTGGAGACATACCTAGAACAAGCACCACCGCACTGACAGAGAGACTTGGACAGGGTTGCATGAAACATAACAATGGTCTGCCAGAGTGGCTTTCCTCATGCCTGCATCCCATAAAGAACTCTCTGCCATCCTCAGCATGCTGCTGCTATTTATGTTGTCCCTGTTCCTGGCTGATGAGGATGTTCAGAAACCTGTCAGCCAAGAAGTCCTGCCCAAAACATTTCCAAAACCAAAAACAGGAAACTTTCTTTACGAAATTACAGAAAAACAGCATAAATATTAAATAGTAAATACTTGGTGCCCAACTACCCAACTCCAACAGGTCATCCTCACTGGAAAATGACTGGTCTAGACAATAAGGACCACGCACTGTCGTGAAGAGAGTTTTCACACTCAAGAGACCTACAACATATTCCTCTGTCCTCCCACACAACCTTGCACTCAATTTCTGTTACATATAGTTATAGCTCCAGCTTGCCCAAAGATAAGTCACTGTCTTACCAGGGTACGCAGTAAGAGGATACCTCTCTACTGATAAATGCCCAGAGCCAAGGATCCGTAATGTGATGAAAAGGACTGAATGGACAATGCAATGTCAGTTGAATCTCAACAAGCAACGTACACCCTGATACATACAAAATGGCACATAGTAGTGTAGCAGAAGACTTTAAGATGAGTCCTGACCAGGACTGACATGACATCCCACATCACACATGTGAGAGGAGGAGGGACCGCACACAAAGAAGAAAGGTCCCTCCTTTTACTCGCACACGGGGAGGTACCACAGATGAGAGACGAAGCTGGAGGCGAGGGAGGAAACCCAGATCGCAATAGCGAAGTCAAAAATAGTCCCTTGCCAATGTCCAATCAATGTCTGCCTCAGAAATGTCGAATCAGATCCTGGGTGCAGTGCCCACTGTAACCTCTGCCTGCATCTTCCGCCTGTAACCTCTTTCACTCTCGTATCTGAAGAAGAAGAAGAAAGAGAGAGAGAGAGAGAGAGATGGAGGGAAGACGAAGAGACCGTCTTCCCTGCTATCTCACCTGCAGGATGCTGACTGCTGTGTGGTTGCTGTCGTGTACAGGTCGCGAGCGGAGTCCCAGCTA